CTGAAATTGATAATGATAAATTATTATCGTTACTCACCACGTGTTCAGTACCAGAGAACTATTTTATAAAAGATAAACCTGTTTCCCAGCAGTTTTAAAAAAATCCCGACATTTTCTTAACAAATTGTTACATCAAAATCAATATTACAAAAATATCATAAATTTCTACAATTTTTATACTTCCACACCTTTTATATTTATGCATAATTTGCATTGTCGCTTTCCAATTTCTAGCCATATTAATATTATTTCCTATGTTCATGTGGCGACACCTATTTCCGTTTAGTTGTCCTATCAGAAACTATATTTCCGTTATAAAAATAATATATTTTCATAAATAACAAAGTAACTCAAATAGTTTAACTCAATTTTTAGTGCCAAAGTTTTTTTTTATTTCTGGAAAGGAACTCATTTTTTTTTTATTTGAAACATCGAGTTATACATTCATTAACAATGGTGTATGCAATCATTTTTTAAATATACCGTATTAAATATTTCTTTGATATTACATTCAACATCAATCATAATTTATTATTAATAATTTATTGTATTTCGTATCTTTATAATCATTTTTATATTAAATCTGTAAATTAGTAAAATAATTATTTATAATATCTAATTACTTCTAGTTACTTGTACATATAATTGATATTCTTATTTTTTATGCTGTTGGAAAATGTACACTATATATTTTTGTAACAATACATTTTTAATAATTAATTATATATTTGTGTTGAGAAGATTTTGTGTTAAAAAGAAAATAAAGCTATGTATGCATATTGAAAGATTTTTTAACATTTTCATATATTTCATTTAAATCCAAAGCTAACCAAAAAATTATTAAATAAGATATTTGATCCAAGAAGTAATTATCATTATGTATTATTGTCAAATAAACACATTGTCGCACAGGTCGTATGTTATATAAAAATTAAATATTACATCATCAGTACTCTTGTTTAATAATTTCTGTAATTAATTATTATAATTATTAATCAAATAATCTTAAAAACATGATATGTTGATTAATTATGAACAATACTTCTAATCTATAATCATAAATTTGTAGTTATTTAGTGATAAAATAATCATTTGAATATTTAATAGAGTAAGTGTTATCATTTTTTGAAGGATTCAAAAATTCATTTCTGAAACTTGTCTTCAACTTTTTTTTTTATTTACGCTATGGAACCCTCTACAGAGTTATTAGCAGCATGCACATTGCTGTGCATACTAACAGTACAGAAACATTTTCGCAGACTTTTGTACAAGGATTACACTGATATACAACTAAAATACATGTTTGTTATTTACATACTTATAACTAGAACTTACAATTAAAACTAAGAAAACTGTTAAGTCACTGAGAAACACAGCTATGCACTCGACACAGATACGTTACAGATGCCAACCATGGCTTTTGAGAAATTTGTGAATAATTAACAGAGGAGTAATATATGGACTCTTAAAAAGAAGTCCATTGTGTGGGGAGGGAAATAACCCATTCCACATAATTTATTTATTAAGACATTCCTATTGGCGTTGAGAATGGGGCACTACCAAATTATATGGTTGAGATCTTGAACAACACTACCACATTGACATTTTGTGTCAAGAGCTAGATTAATTTTGAAGAGGAAAGCAGCTAATTGCATGTAATCTGCTCGGAGTTTGTTCGTCTAACAAATAAAGTCTCTAGGGAGTTTTCTACGTGAAAACCATGGTTTAGCAGAAGGATGGTAATAGCTTTTGAAACATTTTGTACCCTTAAATTTAGATTCCGAAATAATCTGTCGTTCTGTTTCAGTCTTAGCCTGCTTTTTAAAGCTATGGGAAAACTCAAAGAATGGAACCATTATATCTGATGAGACATTAGTACATGACTTTTTTAGCTATCCGCTTTTTCGTTAAAAGTTATTCCAATATGAGAAGGGATTCAGTAAAAATATAGATTCTTATTGGCTGAGAAGTAGAGGTTTATAAGCTTCCGAATATCGAGAATAAATGGGTTAGTTTTGATAGTGATTAAGCTCTTAATTAAGGCTTGCAGGGCTGATAAACTGTCTGAATATATAAAAACGTTGTCATGAGAGGACTCGAGGACCATTCTGATAGCATTTTTTAATGCAATACATTCAGCTGAGAAGATAGAGAAATAACTATGTAAGCCCAACAGTGAGAAAATATTTAAGTCCGGTGAGTAGCAGGCTGCTCCTACTCTACCAGACACCTCATCCTTACTGCCATCAATAAAAAAGGAAATGGAGTTAGGGGATCTGTTACAGAGGTGAGCAAGGAACATGGAGTTCGGGTCCGTAGCATCTTTGAGGAGATAACCCAGTTCGATTTCAAGGGATATTGTTGAAAAGAGTAAATTGTATTCATATAAAAAGGGGGAGTAGTTTTTTTCCGTTTTGAGCAATTGTCTTTCATGTACCAAAGTATCGATTTAACTAGAAAGAATGTTGTGGGATTTAAGCACTAGATTACTCCAAATAGTTGTAGAGTCGGTTAACCCAGTTATACAAAGTTGTTCCACTGTTAAAGAGATTTTTCATTACAAATCGGTTATACAAATATTTGGCTCTATGCTGCAGCATGCACAATCTGGACTCACCCAATATAATATTGGTGGGAGTGTTACTACGGTATCCTAGAGCAATTTTTAGAGCTGCGTATTGAATTCTCTCCAGCTCCATCATTAGGTTTTTAGTTTTAGCGAAAACAAAGAAACTGTAATCGAATGAGGCTTTTGTATAAAGAAATGAGTGTGAAAAATTCAGCTCCCCATTTTATGCCACTAATAAATTTAAGAATGTTTAGTCTTTTTGAGCATTTATTGCGGACGTAATCAATGTGTATATTGAATTTAAGCTAGTAATCGAAAAATTGAACATGGTCATTAGATCTGATAAAATAATTATCAATTTAATCGAGCTGATGAAATGGATAAGTCGGAGTCCGAGTCTAGATCCTGCGATGAGAAAGACCCGTCTCCATAGTCCTTATCTTCGGTCCAGTTGCCATGAAGTTCAAGTTTTTTAATAATACGTGAAATTCTATTTTTAATCGATTTGTTTGACAAGCTGGGGTAGATTCATTTGGCTCTGTGCGGCAGCATTTTAATTAACAAAGAAAGGATTGTGCCAACTGAACAATGTCCGGATTGCCTTTGGCTTTAATTAACAGTTCTTTATACTGTCAGAATTTTATAATATATATGTCCGGATTTTTAATAGAAATCTATTTAACCGGTTCAAGTGCCAAATCAATAGTTTTTCGGTCAACCTGATCAATCTTAGTTCCATATTTCGTCTACTTCTTAAGTGAAGTGATAGGTCGCCTTGTAGCGGCCACAAAAGGAGAAGTCTCCCTGTTTGAGGAGAAGTTTGCATCCATCGTGGTGGGGTTACATTCTTATCTATTGTCGTGGGGCCAGCAGGCGCGGAACTACTGTTAGAGCTTGTAGAGAGTGGTTTCTTATTGGAGATTTTGTTTCGGATGGGGCCCTTATACTCCTCATTTAGAGACTGTTGCTTTTCAATAGGAAAAAGGAGGAAATGATTCCGCCTTGTTTGTATCTCTCACTTGGGTAGGTAATGAAGGGCTCTCAATTTGTTGCTGCGGTTTATTATTAGAGTTGGGACAATGTTTCGCCAGATGTCCTTCCCTATTACATTGGAAACAAGTTGTCCGTTCAGATGAAGATCTAGTAAGAGGTATCATCATAGTTTACTTGTAGACTCTCCGGAACTTTGTTTACATCATCCAAATAAATGTATACCTGTCTGCGAAAGCTGAGTATGTGTATGAATCCTGCTTCTGTGAATCCTACTTTTATGAAGGAGATAGAAAAAACGGTTCTAATTCCCATTTGCTTCAATGCATGTAGTATAACATTGTGAGGAATAATAGGGCAGATGTTAGAGAGAATAATTCGCTTGGTTTTCATAATTAGCGATCTAACAGAAATCAATCGGTCATGTTTTGCCTGCGAGGTACATACATATTCTATTATTCACAGTTCTTGAAGCAAATCGAATATTAGTTAGGTTCAGAGCCTTTCCAACTCCCAAAATATAATTTTTTATGGTAATATCTTCGTATGCATCGTGAACAATAGCATGTTCCTTTATGGGGAAATTTTCTTTTTGAATCACACTCGCGTATGTAGATTCTGGAGAAGCCATATCTTGAAGCTCACTTTATCCATTGTTTTAAGAAAGAGATTCCTGTATATAGGAATTTATCCTTCGAATAAAAAATATGTAGAAATGTACGTTTGTCGCACCCAATCGAGTTGGGATGCGACAACAAACACGAAACTACGTATGGTCAGCACATGCGAAACTAAACACGTCCTACCTTCACGCATGTCAACACAGGATTGTGATAGTCAACTTGATTAAGGTAGAAAATCCATTTGAAGACATAATTTTAAAAACTCAATTTTTAAAAATATACGAAAAGTAACAGATTGATTTTTTGAAGAATTTAGATTAGAAATCTCTAGAAGTAATTATTCCATTTTAAGAAATATCCACTAATAGAAGAATTTGTAGCAAGAAAGAATTAATCCATAATACTAACATTCTTAGATATTAAAACTTTTATCAAAAGTTACATTTTATTAAAAATTCCATAATTATTTTTTTATTTTTCATTTATGTTCATATAATGAGTAAGTATAAAAATTGGATTTAAAAAATATTATAAATATTTAAATTCTTATATTTTATTTAGAAGTGAATTTATTTAATAAATAATCCATTCTATAGATAGATAAATAGATAGATCTTTATTGTTTTTCTATTGAATTACAAAGATTCTATTCCTCATTGTCTATACATTCTCCAGTTGCTTCTACACACATTCTACTTAAACATAATTGTTAGCATTCAATAATGGATATAATACTAATCTTCTAATACTAAATTTTTCAACTTGCTTCTGACAATAATCTAATTATGAAAATACTTAACTAAGCTACTTATCACATAATGATTTTGCTCATTATAAAATAGAACTAAAGAAAAACGAAACAAAAGAAAAACCGTATAAAACCCTACATGACACATTAAAATAAAAATGCTTATATATAAATATAGTTCTTTATCTTTCCAACACCCCATCTTTGGTTTCACTCTTTGCACCGTTATTACTCTTTTTCCCTTTCTTCCACTTGTGACGGGAACTTTTCCTTGCCTTGCAGAAGAAGTGATCGTTGTTCTTGACGCAAGACGAATGAAAGTAATATGGAAATCTTCTCTGATTTATGGCCAGGAAAGAAAGAGTTATCTTAATTTGTTATACGCGTAAAGGTATCGAGAATAACGAGATATAGCTTGGCGGTTAGAATCAGACTGAACTGAACTTTATTGAATTCGTCGGTTATTTATACAGAGTCTGGGTATGGTCTACGTGACGCTTCTTACAAAAGTGGGGATAGGTAATTCATTGACCGGATGTGAGTCAGCAATAAAACGATAAAACGATAAGGAGTCATCTTCACATCCCCTTCGTTAGATTCATTTTAGTCCTCTAAAATACACGATCTTTTTCTTGATTTTCGATATAGTGATGTCTTCTATGGCTAAGTTATCTCGTTGATCGTGCAGAGGTCGTACTTCGATGTAGGTGTTTTGGGAGGTTGATTGAAGTTCCATGTAGGTGCCTGGGATTGTTGGTTGGACTAGGCTAGTTTGTGGATTCTGTGCGACTTTCGTGGTGTTACAACATTTAATGCATAATTTGTCGGGTGTGAATTTGTCCAATATTTTAAAGAATCCTATCTTATGAAGGATATATAGAGTTATTATTCCTAATGATATGTCGAATGCTGTTTCCGTAGTACTTCTAATTCGTCGGGCTTTTTTGGTTTGTTACAATTGATTATACATAGCGTCAAGTGAAGTTTTATAATTGTTGAAACTTAGAGTTACGTGTGGTGCATTTGGCACAAAGTGTTCTAATAGTTTTATATTTTTGGAAGAAATGTTAAGTTTGAGAGTATATGGTGTTTCTTGAATCTGAATTTCTTTACTAGTACCTCCAATTTTCATTACATTTTCGTACAGTATACACATTACTTTCGTACTTACACATTCTTCGTCGCTGGATAGTATAGAGGAACCTGTCAGGTGGACTTTGTTAATTCCTTTACAAAGAGCTTGTATTTCCAAAAGTTTTTGTGGTATTGCAATGTATCTGTTGGGCATATACATGGATATAAACGGTATCGATTTTAAATATGGTCGTGCCGCATTTGGTATATCATTTAATTTTGAAGTTTGACAGCCGTTCTGATAGTCGTGTCGTGTGGGTTGGGTTCGTTCGCAAATGAATCCTAAAGGGCTGTTTTTACAATATTGTTTTAGGTAATATTCATTAATGATGATTTGTGATCCGGTTTGTTTTAATATCATGTCATGATCTATCAGAGGTGCTAGAAATACGTTTTGAATTTGTTGCGGTATAGGGTGGTACTTAATGATAGTCTATTCGTGTTCCTCTAGCATGGATGCTTCAATTCTGTAAATGATTGCGTTGTCAATTATTACTGCTGTGAGTTTACTAATATCTATGATAGTTTGAAAGTTTGAAAGTTTTCTTTCTGCTATTGTAACGGATTTAGTTTTGGTCACATCTTTATATGCTCGTATAAACTGGTCTATGTTAATAAGTGTTGTGTCAATTATTCCGTTTTTTCCTAAAATTATAATATTATAGAATTCGTTGATCTTGTCCGCAAATTCTGAATACAATATCTCTAAGGTGAGCAACGTTTCGTCGAACATCAAAGTGTTTTGTGCTTTCTGTAGTTTTGTTGATTGTTCTATCAATTTGGTTGTGAGGCTCTCAAAGTTGTCGTCTGTAAGTATTTGTTTCATAATGATGGTTTGATTCTGTATTATACTGCTAATTTTGTTCTGAAAAGCCTCGTTGAAAAGCCCGTCTATATTTTTGTTGATCAGGCTTAGGTCGTCGTTGTCTAGTGTTCCGAATAAAGTTTTGGATATTGAACCTATCGCATTTATCAGTCCTCGTCCAACCTGTTTGTCAGTATGGTCTTAAGTTTTTGTATTGATTTAACTACTTGTCTTATTTTACTCTGTATCATTGGATAACCTGAATTTTGGCATTCATTTTTCAGCAGAGTAATATTCATGTATGGGTATAGCTATTCTGTGTATTAATTGTGCGTTTTCTTCTAGTTCGTCTATCTTAAAAACTATACTTGTTGTGCTGTGGTATACATAACTGGTTCCTATGATTTCTTTTAATATCTTCGTACCGTTTATAGGCTGTATCTTCAAGTAATGACATGGTTTAATTCGACTACCATGTACTAGTAGTGTTTTCTTAGAATTGATTTCTAAAAGATAGTTAGGCGTATATTTATAGTGATAAAAGGAACAAAATGGAAAGAGGCAGGAGAGCAGGAAATAAAGGAATTTCTAAAAGAAAACTTGAAATTAGATGTAGAAGTTGAAGAATCATGGAAAGTAAGAAAGGACAAAGGAATAGAAACGGTAGTGGTGAAATTAAAAAAGCGAATGAGTAAAAAGCAAATAATAACTAGGAAGAAAAATTTGAAAACAGGAATATACATAGATGATGACCTAACACGGAAAGAAAGAGAAATACAAGGGAAATTAAGGAAACTGGCAGGTGAGAAGAGAAGAGAAGAGAAAGAAAAAAGACTACAGTAGGTTATAAGAAAATAGGAATAGACAAGAAATGGTTTATTTGGAATGAAAGAAAAGAAACTCTAGAAGAAGTGACTGAGAAGGACAAGTACTGACTGAGGGAAGAGGAAAAAAGGGGAGTCGGAGTCCTATTCTGGAATCTGGCCGGTTTGGAGAAGAAAGAAGCAGGTTTCTGGGAGTATATTGAAAGATTCGACTACGTAGGGTTAACAGGAACATGAATAAAAGAAAAAAAGTGGAATAAATGGAGGAGCAGATTACCCGGAGGATATAGATAGGAGTACCAACTGGGACAGAAAGAAAAGAGAAAAGGAAGGGCAAGTGGGGGAATACTAGTAGGGATGAGAAGAAAACTAATTAGGGGACGTCAAGAAGTATACCACATAAATCAAGAAAAATTAGCAGAAATTGATTGCTAAAACAAATTGAAATAATACAAGAAGAAGAGAGAAATACAAAAATGTTGTTAGGAGGAAACTTTAATGCAAGAACTGGGGAGAAAGGAGGAATCTACGAGAGTGAAGATGAGAAAAGAAGCTCAAAAGACAAGATATGCGACAAAGAGAAGGAAGTTTCTACTGGAGGTGGTTGAAAAGAATAGCTGGCATATTCTAAATGGAAACGTGGAAGAAGATAAAAAGAGAGAATATATATTTATACATAGTACTGGTCAGTCGGTGATAAATTACACAACAGTAGACACTGAAGGAAGTAAGAGAGTTTATTGTGAAAGAGAGAGTAGAATCAGACCATATGCCGGTGTACTGCAAACTGGAATACAAGATACCAAGGGGAAGAAGAAGGTCAACAAAGGAAACAAGATGGTTGGCAAAATGGAACGAAGAAAGATGTGAGAAGTGACAAAAAAAAAAGTATATGAAGAAACTTCCATGGAAGGTAGATAGAAAGAAATAAAGGGAACGATAGAGGAGGGAGTGACCAAAGTAAAGAAAAAGGCAGGAGAGATATTGAAAAACAAAAGCTGGTGGGATAAAGAATGTGGCAGGAAGAAGAGGGAAGTCAGAAAGTTGCTCAAGAAATGGAAGGAGGGAAAGGAGGTGAAAGAGAAATATCTGAGGAAAAGGATGGAGTTCCGAAAAATATGTGAGAGGAAGCAAAAGGAAAAGGCCAAAAGCGAATTGGAGGAGATCAGAAAAGCTAAGACAAAAAAGGAAATATGGAGATATATTAATAAAGGGAGGAAACAAAGGATACCAATAAGTGAAGCAATCGGACTGAAGAAGTGGCGGAGGAACTTTGTGGAACTCCTAAACGTTACAGACAAAAAAAGAGAAAACATGTGAAAGAAGATAGTAGGAAACAAAGAAGAAACACCCGTACAGGACATAGAAAAGGGAGGAGATAGAAAAACAGATAAAGAAGTTGAAGAAAGAAAAAGCGTCGGGAGAGGATAACATCCAAAACGAAGCATGGATACATATGCAAGGGGAGACAAAAGAAAAAACATACGAATTAATTAGAAACGTCTGGAAAGGGGAAAAAATGCAGGAAGACAGGAGGACTAGTCTAATCTCCCCACTGTACAAAAGAACAGAAAGAGATGTGGCAGGAAGTTACAGAGAAATGTCGTTACTCAGTACGGCGTATAAGATTTATGCAATGATGCTGAACGATAGAATCAAAACTGAAGAGAAAATAATATTACCGGACACGCAAGCGGGCTTTAGAGAAGGAAGAAGAACAGTGGACAATATTTATATACTACAGCATGTAGTAGAAAAGACAATAGAGGGGAAAGGAAGAAAATTATTCGCGTTCTTCATAGACTTAAAGGCAGCATTTGACAGGGTGGAAAGAAGTAGACTTTGGAAAGCTATGAAGAAGGCGGGCATATCGGAAGAACTAGTCGAAAAGACACAGGAAATTTATACGGAAGTAAGGTGAAAATTAAAGACGAAACATCTGAATTTTGGACACAGGAGGGCAGGGGTGCCCACTAAGTCTCACACACTATGACACATCATCATCCACGCTTCGCTACTATACATCATACTCGTCTCGCTTACATCTCACACACGCATGCACACTACACTCCAAATCAAAAGACAGTCGACAACGTTTGGAAGGCTCGAGAAAGTCAGTCATAAAAAGGAATCCTTAGAGACAACAACGTTATACAATTAATGTACTAAATATAACACACTAATAAAAAAAAATAATACAGACAATAGTATACTAATAATAAAAAAAAATGCAACCCCTCCTACGACAAAGAGACGAACATTTGAACCAGTTAGTATTCATAAAGGGATACTAACGCCGTGGTCAGTAAATTCCGTCTTGGAATTCTGGTACGAAACAAATTGGTCCTTCGAGCCGGATTACGGCACAAAACTTAAAGAATCAGTGCAGTGATTGTGTATAGCATCTAATTACGAGAAAGGGCAATACAAGTATTCTGGACAATGTCATTCACGGCAGAAGAAGAAACAACTCAAGGTTTAAGGGATCTCATTGAATGAAGAGCTGTCATCAAGGGACATCTAACTCAATTCAGTAAGTATTTATTCAAATACAATTCAGAACCAGATCTTGTAAAGCTAAACGTAAAAGTGAAACGACTTGTCAAAGGCTTCGACAATTTTGAGAACATTCAAAACGCCATAGAGATGATAGATAATAATCAATCCAAGGAACGTGAAAATATAGAAGAATCGTATGATGATCTAATCACTGCTACGGAAAAGATTCTCAGTGCGTGTACTAGCATAATTGAAAATTGCTATTCTCCGGCAACTACAACTGATGCATCAAAGGAAAGTAAAACTACCAAAGATTGACTTACCAACTTTTAATGGAAGATTGGAATATTGGCTTTCCTTTAAATTACAATTCATGTCACTCATTGACACTCAAATAACACTATCTAACACACAAAAACTACACTACCTACGTTCAACACTATCCGGTGAATCGGCAGATATTCTAAATTCAATCGACCTCACTGAAGACAATTACGCATTAGCTTGGGATTTACTAAATCAAAATTATAGTAGCAAACGGTTTATCGTCTGGCGTCATGGTGAGTTTTTACTTGATACCTCTTCCATTGAAAAAAATTCAGCATCGTCCATACGTCGATTCGCAAATAACGTACGACAACATCTCAAGGTTTTACAAACTTTAAACCAACCTGTTAATCAATGGGACACTATCATGATCATAATGCTTCTTCCGAAATTGGACCGTGATACGAGGATGGAATTTGAAAGGAAGTTAGAATCATCGGATATTATTCCAACTTTAGATACATTCCTGAATTTTCTTCTGGACAAAGCAAGATATCTCGAAGCCAGAGAAAGAAACTTAAAACAAAGCGTTAACATTAAGAACAAGCCTGAAGTGTCAACCACGAACAAATTCTCAACGAAGCGAATACAAACATTTAATGCATCAGCAATCACCTACCCACTTTGTAACGATAACACTCACCGTGTATAGCAACTGCTTGCGTAAAGGACACGCTGTCTCACAATGTAAATCAATTTCATGCCGAATTTGATTTAGGGAGACATCACACATTATTGCACTCTGAACAAATCCAACCTGCTCAGGAAGAACAATGACTAACAACCATCGAAACGACATCATCTCTTGCATCACCCTACGATTCCTGTACTGAAGAATTGATATGCTGACCACTGCAAGGATTAAGGTGTATGCAAGAAATGGAACACACACACACACACACACACACAATGCAGAGCTCTACTTCATACTGGATCAACTAACCAATTTTATCACAGATGATTTAATCAATAGATTACGCTTGCAGAAAAGGTACTGTCTCGTTCCGGTAAGAGCATTAAATTCTCTACATACTACATGCAACTATTACACAACTGCAAAAATCTAATCCAATCATACCAATCAACTCTCAATTTTTTCATCATACATTCTATCTCCGCATTCGTCCCAAATAACACAATCGATCGTGAATTTATTGCCATTCCACCAAACATCAAATTATGATTTCAATAAAGCAGCTCCAATACAAATACTCATTGGGTCAGGTCCATCTCTATCCCTCCTCAGCATCGGACAAATTAAACTTTCATCAACTAATTTAGATCTTATACTTCAAAAAACACAATTAGGTTAGGTCATTGGAGGAAGTGTTCCAAGTAATAATAAGCGACTGTCACAAACACACCATACTTTAACTTGCAATTCGAGTTGGAAAATTTTTGGAAGATTGAAAAAGGCATTAGCAAACCTCACCTTACTGCAGAGAAACAGGCAGCGGAGAATCACTTTCGACTCAACACCACTAGAGCAACCGATGGCAGATACGTAGTCACCTTTCCCTTTAGAAACACTGTAAACAATTTGGGTGACTCCCAAAAGGCTGCCTTGAAACGATTCCTATATCACTCGAGACCAAATAGTGACCAGTTTTAAAGGAACAATACAAAGCAATTATCCAAGAATACATAAA